TCTTAAAGTGTGAAACTATAGATAGTGAATGTGATTCGAGCTCGTTTAGGGCTGCTGTCACGATTAGCTGCATGAGAAAGAGTGACGTGGCGACCGACACTGTTAGTCAGAAGGTTCAAGCGAGCTAACTATTTAATTGTTCGGCAATGACCACTGAGTTAAGATTATTCATGAAGTGAACTATATTGATTTGAGTTGAGATCATGCTAACTTGTGAAACCCCCTTGTTTATGTGCATAATGATGATGCATAAGTGTGTATATATGATGCTTTCTTGGTGGAATTATATGGATTGGACAACATGTGTACATGAACTATTGTTGTTTATCGTTCATCTATTCTGTTTGAAGTCAAAATTGAAGAAGGCGAGTGTATTTCATGGAAACCCTAGAGTTGTGAGTACTTTGGTGTATCCTTGGCATGTTAGTGAAAGCCTTTTGTCATTTTTATGCCTATTATTTAAGTTATGAATTTTTTAAGTTGATCGTGCTGCTGAACTTTTCAAAAATCATGATAAATCGAGTTTTGGTTATTTTGATGTGAATTTTTTATATGTTTGCCCTCTGTTGATGAGGTCTATGGTGTAAACATTTCAAGTTAAAATTCGACATGTAGCTATGTGTTTTGGTGATTTGAAGTTCTCGTCAGATTCTTGAAAAATCGATATAAAATCGAGTTTGAGGAATTTTGAGTTGAATTTCTGGGAATGGTGTTACTTTGCCTTCATGCTCATTGTGTCAAAATTTCTCTTTAAAATGTGAAGGTTTGCCTGGGGAACTAAGAATTTCTCTTTATGGTTGTTATTTTGCAAAAATTATTTCTCCAGGTTAAAATGATTTCTAAGGGTCAATCTCTAGAGTGCTTGTGTATTTTTGAGTATATTATGTTGTGTAAAAATTTCATTGAAAACCTCTAGTGCATTTTAAAAATATCCGATAGACATTGTTTCTAGCCCATTTTTTCAGCATCTGCCAGCCCCAGGCCCGGGCCAACAGCCCCGGCAGCCCCCAACTGGGCCCTATTTAGCTATTTCCCGACCCGTTTGACTTTCTATCAACCCATCACTATGTTTTTCATGTTGAATGTGTTCTAGATGAAATTTAAATGGTTTATTGAGTCTAGACGGTTAAGCCAAAGTTCCAAACTCCACTAAAAATTCCACGAATCACTAAGTCGATAATGTTTCCGCTAAGTGAATGTTATTGAATGTGTTTCTAAGTGTCGAGATAGTTGTTGATAGGACTATCTTGATTAATGTAGGTTCGACGAGCAGAGCCCTCGACCTAAGTCCTGCCTTGTGTGATTTTGCTTCTTCGGTATCCAGTTGGGTTGTATTAAAGAACTTATATGACGTAAATTATTTATGTCTTGTTGGATTGGTATGATCAATGTATGCATGTGAACCATATAGCCTATCGATGTGTGCTATTTCGACTGTCGGTGCGGTTGTCCCCGTCGATGTAATACGGTACCCTTCTGAGGCAGTCTTCTTAAGTCCTAATTAAAGTCGTGCCCTTGTGAGACATGTACTCCCACCATTTGGGTAATGAATCCCTATTTCGTGGCTAATGAAAGAGTAAGGTTATTATGTGAATAGAAAATGTGACATGATTGATTGATTTATATTCATGCTGTGGCTATACCCTTCTGTCATTATATATATAGTTTATGTGCATAGCGGTGAGAAAAGTGGTATGTGTTCACTCCCATGTCCT